AAAAACTTCTTGTCAACGTTATAATAAAGTAAGAGAATGAAAGTGATGATTAGGGTTTCCTTCTTTCGTCTTCCCTTAAATCGGTCCGCCCCTGCTTCTTTTTCACACACTCTCTCCGGATTAGGATTATCTATTTGAATTTGCTGGTTTCATTTTCAATGTCGTCATGAATAGTTGATTTTCTTGTTTTTATTTTATTTTATTTTGTTTGTTTTTTATGCTTTTGTTGGAGAGATGAAATAAGAGAAGTTGAATTAGAATTCTGCTGGAGATTGGAAATATATCTTGACTTTAGAGCATATTTCTTCATTTGTCTGAGTGGACTGATCTTGATTTTGGGTATGAAGGAAATATTTCAACGAATATTTAAAGCATTGACTGGATTGGATGGTAAGTCTAAACTTTTTGTGTTGCAAAATTCAGACGAGGTTGTGATCATGCAAGATCTTAACAAGGACAGAAAAGATAATCTGACTCGTGTTAATCTGAATGCTGGGGATCTCTATCAGTATTTTACTCTGAAGAGTGCATTGGTTTCAAGTGGCTCCGAAAGTGCAGGAAAAAGGAGATCGTTGAGGCTGAGACTCGAACAGTGAAGCAGCGTCTTGGGTTCCCCATATTTGAAACGGTTGTTCCAGAAATCAAGCTGTCATCCATTGCTTCGACTTCAGAAAACTTTGATTCCCAGCCTAAAGGGAAGAATGCTGACATTGAAAGATTGGAGAGAATGATCGACATAAACATAGCCTGCGAACCAGATCAGGTTTCTGCTGACGAACTGAATGTCGGTAATCTGGAGAAATAAGATCAGGGTGCCTGTGTCCGCGCGAGTCTTCATTGATTAGAACTCCTCTGCTAATGATTGCAAAGATCTTCAGGTAGCAGAGTCTAGTAGAGAAAGGGTCAGTGTTAAGGCGCCGTTGGATATAGACCTCGAAGCTCCAGCGTCCATGGAGAGTGACACGATGACGATAATCGATTCATCGAACGGAATGTTCCATATGACTTACAGGTGCCAATTTAAAAACTGAAAAGGCACAAACAAGGGATGAGATTTCTACTAATGCAGCAGAAACTTTAGTTGTGATGTGGTCGTGGTGTCCGTAAATCTAACCAGAACAAACGCAAAAACCTCAATGAAAATCAACTGTCTTTTGAAAAAATAAAAATGATCCATAATGGCAATGTACTCTTTGTTATTGCTAGTATTGAGCGAATAATGTGAGGACAAAGTTGTAAGATCATGTTTGAGGGATGATCCTGCTCGAGTATGTTTGCAAGTTAGACAATTACAATTTCGTCAGAAACATATATCTTTTGGCAAGGGGTTGCTACCGGTTTAAAGTTGATGATTACCATGATGCTTTCTCCATAATTTGGTTGTTCGAATGACAACTTCGCGGGTTGAGGTAACATTAGCGCTGATTTGGGCAGTCGGCATCCTGACCTTGGCCCATATGAAATGGCTCTAACGTAGAAAGATATATATGGCTAAGGCCATCTTTTGATAATGACTCGAGACTACATGCTCCAGGACTAATTAATTTGATGGAAACATATAAATAAATATATATATATATATACAACTAATTTCTGTTTACAAAAATCTTAATTAATCAATTAATTTGCAGATGACGCAAAAATGGCCGAGGAATCCTCGGTGAAGTCACGTCTGTCAGGTTTAGGCATCTGCATTTGAAGACAAAGCTTCACGTCAAGGAGTATTAATTACGGCATCACATTTTTCATCGATACATTCATATAAATTGCAAGTTTAATAAATAGAAATCGATGATCAATAAGGTGATGACACCACTCGAGGTATATGTAAGAATATATCCATATTTTGTTTTGTTATGAGCATATAGATTCGGAGTATAATGAGTTTCATATACAATGTTAGAATAAATATCGTAAAATTAAAGCTACGACCTATGTAACACTACCTAATGATGTATGTGAATTTGAATTTGCTGCTTAATCCATCTATTTGCACGCAATATTTTAGATCTGCAACTGTTATGTGCATATTTGCAATTGTTTTATGCATCATTGTCAACTAAAATATGTTAGGTGTTCTTAGTTATTACATTAATTACTTAGAGATGGGCTTAGCAAAAAAATGTTATGACAGTTAAAGGATTGAAAAGTAAAGTATTTCTACACCTTTGAAAGTGTACAACACAAAAATATTAAAATTAAAATATATACTAACTGAAATTAAAATAACTGTTTATTTAAAATTAAAATTATTATATACAATTAAAAAGTAGAATTAAAATTGAGACTTCTAAAGAAACCCTAGACACGCCCCATCCGGCATCCGCTTCTTCCTCTCTCTGTTCGTACTTTGTTCGTCTTGTTCGTTCTCTGCTTCTTCATTCTTTCATCTTTTTTCTTTTTCACTTTTCTTCTTCTTCCCGTACTTTCTCATTTTCCTTCTTTTAAGTTATCCGTACCGCACCCCTGAACCGCGCCGCCTCCGCCTTTCTCGACCGTCGACCGTCGACCGTGCTCCGCTGCGGCCTTTCTTGACTCGTCGACTGCGAGCTGCCCCTGCCCGCCGACAGTAAGCCACGTTTTATATGATTTCTTCATTCTATTGTTTTAGTTTATTGTATTGAGGCAATTTCTTTTGTGCCACTGCTCTTTTTGTTTTGTTATTTTGCTAAATGTTGGGTGAGGATCGCAACTTGCGTTATTTTGAAAAAAATGAGATTTGGTGAAGCCTTCTAGCTTTGAATCTGTTTAATTTGGCATGTTGGTGTTGTTTTCTTCGTGATGCAGGTTGTTTTTTTTATTTACTTTATTGTTTGTTTGTGTTGGTGTTAATTTATGAGTTTATTTTTTGCGTGGTGGTTAGCTCAATGATACAAATTGCATACCTTTTCGAGTTCCTGAAATCTCTCATAGGATGCTGTATTTTTTGGCATCCCTCGAAGGTTTCCAATTGTAGTGTTTGCACTCTTTATCTCATTGTTATTTTTTTATTGGTGATAAACCCTTCTTTTTCTAGTAATTGTCTAAAATTTGAATATATTGGAATCTGTATAGTCTTTAGGTTGGGTTGAATTTCATTACTTGCTTAATTTCGTATAAATTAAGATTAATATTTTTATACTATATATATATATAACAATAATAGTAAAATATATTTTAAAGACACGAGTGACATAAAAGATTAAGAAAGTCTATAATTAATTAATATACATAAATAAAAGAGATAGTATATAAAAATTAAAAATTCAACCATCTAGAAAGCTATATAAAATAAAGTATAGTTAGAAGAGTTTAGAATATCTAAAAGATATATAATTTTTTTTAAAAAAAATTAACTACCTATGAAATTTTGGTGAATATTATTTAAAAAAAAAAACAAAAAGGTACTCAACAAGAACATTATGTAATTACAAGGTTTAGAAGAGTGTAGAATATGTATAATAAATATATAAAATACATATTTTTTAATAACAAAAAAAATAATTTGAACTATCTAGAAGGTTCTATTGAATATTCACTACCAAAAAAACTGTTTTCTATTACGGCCGGAAAATCGTAACAAAACGCCATATTTCATGCAATTTGCGTATTTGCTACGCCTTTGTTACGACTTTTTTCCGTAATGTGTACTCGCGTAACGAATGTTTTTTGCCACGCCACTTTTCGTAACTATTACGATCGGTCAACGCTCCCTGAAGTATGGTATTTGTTACGATGTTTGTTACGAATTCTCTCACGAAAGGTAGATCCTTCCGCGCGTGTGGCAGGACTTTTAGTTACGGTATTTGTTACGGAAGTTCCTCGCGTTACAAGTGTTTTCCATTGACCGGTTGTCAGAACTTGGTTTTTGTTACGACTATTTGTAACGGCATTGAACCCCGTAAAAAAAATATTACCTACTTATAGTCACGAAACCGTCTGTAACAACAAATATCCAAAGACCACTTTTTGTAACGATTTTCTGGCCTTTTGTTACGGAAAAATAGCGTATTGTGAAAAACAGGGGGTACGCTGCAATGCAATTGTTAATTTTCGTAACAAATGGACCTGCTGTGATGCGTATGATACGAAAATAAATTACGAATACAAAGATTGCTATAAACATCATCATCATTACGCCCCGCGCAAACATTAATTCATATTAAAATCTGAATTCCATACCTACCAACAAAGTAAAGCAACCCATAGAACAAGCCTACTAGTATCTACACATCAACAACCTGTTCCGCAAAACGTGCTTAACAGTTCAAACACAAGTAAACAACGCAATAAGCAAATACGGTTATCATCAATCCCATTAGGCACATTTTTCACCATACGAATTCAAACCACAAAGGTCTACGCATCAATTCCAGACATAGTTCAACAAAAACTCAACACAATCCATCCAAAGACAGGTTCGACATTCAATCCATATGACAAACGGGGCAATTAACATGGGTGTATCGGTACCAACATTTCAAGCCCGGCGCATGAGCTGCAATTGCCAACACAGAGATTACTTTAAGTCATACTTCTTATAAATTTCGGAAGGCAATACAAGAAAGGTATTAAAGTAGATCCTTACGTCCTTGTAGCTCCACTCAATAGGATCTTCGCCGATGACATCGCGAAGGGTAGTCGCCCCAGAAATGGTCGGCAAAATAAGGGGTGTGTCCGGGACTGACGCGGATGTCACGAAGACCTTGACCAAGGAAAGTGTGTGTCACCTACAGCATTCACAAGAGCAATTTTTGATTACATTCAAGCATATATATCAACAGACGTTCGAACTGTATATATAACATGTCATAACACAGACATTATAAGTGTAATACTTTGGAACTAGAACAAGAGGAGTACGTACATTCAGACATGTCGTACAGTACATGGTATTACATTCATGAGTTAGGTAGCGAAGCACATTATACCCTAATTTCCTATGTAATTGCAGCTTGATCTTTAAACCAAACATCCTTCAATAAACATGGGTCGTCATAATAGCAGTTATTTTACCACCCCTACATTAACAGTCTACATCGCTTTGGAAATCCACGGATCGTATCATTGTATACTTCTACACTTAGTGAATCCATGCTAATACGCAATATGAGGCCTGAACAGTCACGAAAACCTACGATATCTCGCTGAGGCATATTAAAAGTTTAATTAAACATCCTCAAAGATACCGGACCAACCTGGCCCAGGGGGGCAGAGCAGAAGTCCCTCTGCAACAACTTTTTCTCACCGGTGCGGGATAATAGAAGCACATGTGTGCCGACCTACAACAGACAGGGCATATGAGTTGGATAAGGTAGTACGCAGTCAAGAGTAGCCTAAATTAGACACTGCACTGATTTCTAAGAAACTCCAGGGCGTCACGGAATCATACCGTCATGCTTGGCTCGGACACAGGCCTGGGAATCTCAGGGACTGAATCAATACGAGATGTGCCCTATCATATAACATGCCGAGGATGGTAAATTCCTTCGCCATCCAAATCTCATGGGATACTCATACCAAACAGGTCAGGATTATGAATACTTACTGCCTGGCCAGTAACCGCTCCGGAGTTTCTGTGCATGAATGCATACACATCAGCCTTGATGGTTTTGAACTCATCCATCATTGCCTTCAGCTCCTCCATTCCATTCTGTAGTTGTTCCCACCCATGCTGGAATGCTACACTGTCTGTTAAACCAGTTGACTCGCTGCGGGGATGAGCTGAACTTGCCGCACTGTCGACCTTTGACCGCTTCTTAATCTTTCCCCCAAGGGCCCGTCGGTACAGAGTCTCCCGAACAGAGGGAGTCCGCCCTTCAGGGGAACCTTGTTTAGCTCATTCTGTAAATAAGTCTACAGGAAAGATTTAAGTGAGGCCGAACTTGCTCTTGTTGTTAGAGATGTAAATACTGACTGAATTGTAACTAAGTTGGGAACGAATTTATTCTACCAATATCTCCTCGGTTTCTTGGTCATCCTTTCCCTTGCCTTGTGTGCGACTGGAAATCCAAATCTCCAGATTGTCGGGGTCCTTCCCCTTTGCCTTGATCTGCAGCAATACAAGGCCTTCTGTCATCGAAAACATAATGAAATACAGGAGAGGAAAATATGGGGATGGAGCATGACATGACTAATTACTTAATTGTAATAAAGGTACCTCCTCTGCCAGAGTCGTGAATGACTTCCGCCCAGTACGATGTGGAAAGCTTCTTTTCGCTACGTTCGACGCATTTTTCTTGGATTGAAGCTACGTCAATCAAAGTTATTTAGTTCTCAGTCCATGCCCGTGCAGATTTAACGTATATTAATTTGGCATGTCCCTATGCGTACCTTCACCTTCTCGTCGCGCCAATACTCAACCAACTTCGGCCACTGATCGGGCACAATCCTGCTTGAGGGAACCTTCTTCAGTGCTTCTTCATCGTCCTCGATCGGATTGAAGTAAGTTGATTTGATGCTGTATTTCCAGTGCCTCCAAACTTCCCTTAGGTCAGCCAAGACCACTTTCTCCGCTGAGTCTGGTAATCCGCTGTTACTCTGGAATGCCGTTTCACACGGTTTCCACCAGGTCCGGAGAAGATGGTAGGGCCATATATAAGAATCTATATGAAATAAAAGAACTTTCAATTTAATGAAGTTTGCATCACCTGAACCTCCATCCATGCACCCTGTCTCTTCGTCTCCGGTATCTCAGCGAACGTGGGGTAATGTAGAGGAAGTCGAGCTCCGTTGCGTGCAATGACCCCAATGGCTGTCTTGTACTCGTTTACGTCGGGTCCGACAATGCTTTTACCATCCGGCGATGTGAATACAAGCATCCTGTGATCTTTTCCCCATCCACGCGGCATTCGTGCCGCCCCTCTCCCCTGCTTTTTCTTTGACGAACCAGCTGACACAAACAGGAGATTACATGTTCTAATAAGGATATTACATGCAAAATATGAAGTCACTAAATGTAATCGGTAATCTTTGAAGGCTAATTTCCAAACCGTCGTGCGATGTCATCTCGTCCAATGGTGCCATATTGCCCGCCTCTGTTCCTGTCATCAGAGTGGGGTCGGAGCCTGGCCCTTCATCCAAGAGTGGCATATCACTCTCTGCAGTCTCCATGTCCTGCGTCGGCGGAAGTGTCTCGTCATCTGCTTGTGGGGGGGATTGTATCATCGTCATCCTGTGTCAGTGCCGTCGGATCAAAAAGTGATGGAACATCCCTATCATCATGTTCCTGTTGGGGTTAACAGTGTCAGCCTATTGTAGTGTTATACTGAGAGTTCAAATAAGGACATGCTTTCGGCAAAGGAACCACATTACCTCCAAAGGGCCCTCTGAATCCTGAAGCACTGCCCTTCGAGTGGAAGATGTTGGCTTCATGCTTTGACCACGAGCATCGCGCTCTTTCTCCCACTCTGATGTGATGGACCGAGTCGCTGGAGCAGTGGCGAGACCCGAGATCCCTTCCGTTTTGTCACTTTCTTTGTGGGATTGCGGATGGGCGATGGATTCCTGCTTGCGGGATGAGTTGCCTCTAGGGGGCTGTTACGTGCGGATGCCCGGGTAAAACGTCTTGCGGGAGAGACTGCCGGATCCTGTGACCCTCCAACGGCAGCACGTTGAGATTTGCCCATAACCTGCAAGACACCAGTGTTAGTTGGCAGTATGAAAACGTATATTAGGGAAAATCAAAACACACTTATCACAACAAAGCTTATGAAGTGACATATTACGAGAAATTCACATAATAGTTACTGCAATTAATCAGGTAAATTGCTTCAGCATACGCAAACGGGGGTAAAGAGCTTATCCGCGTTGACATATTCGGAAAAAATCATAACATCCTGCGCGCGCATAATGGATGCAAAGTGCTTCAGCAAATCAAGCGAAAACAGGGCCTATGAACGATGGCATGCATGCCCGAAAGTGGTTACCTATTACGTACTTCAATCACCGACCCCCCCTCCCCACATAGATGACCATCTGTTGAGATGTGTAATTTATTCTGAACTGCGAACTCAAAAGGTTGCGTGGTTGCCAAACCATCAAAAATGGGCCAATTAGGCTATATTCGCATACTACCAAAAATGCCCGCTTATTTGATTCTGCGCTAAGCACCATCATCTTCGGAGGATTCCTCCGAATCCGAAGGCGAAGTATCGGCATGGTCCATCTGCCCTGCATCTTCTACTACTTGCCCCTCAATACCTTCCCTTAGCCAGTAATCGGCTACTCCTCTAACATTGCGTCCGTCATCTAAAGGTAACCCTGTGCTGAATCTATGATCGATCGTACTATACACGTCATACGTGTCTCGCCGTGACACCGGAACGACAACGCTCCAACCTTCATCAACGGGTCTGCAATGTACCACACCTGAGAGGCTTGGGTCGCTAAGATGAAAGGCTCATCCGTGGGCAAGTTCTTGGGGTACATCAAATACTTAAAGTTCACACATTTATATTTGAACTCATCCTCTTTAACGCCCCTCTCCAGATCCACCCAGTCACATTTTAAAAGGAGATACTTCTGTTGATTGCTATAGTACACTTCCACAATGTCCGTAAGAATCCCGTAATATGCCACGGAACCTTCTCGTGGGTTATGGTCCCTAGCTGAGGCATAACTCACTGTATCTGCCGTAACCATAACACCTGCACACTGTGTCCTCTTCCTTGCATCCCGGTCTTGAACACGATAGCGTATTCCTGACACAATGCACGAGAGAGTACCGTGTTGCATTGCATAATGGTCCACCCGCCAATGCACGGATCTCCGCTGAGATTGGGCACTCATCATTATTCGTCGGATCATCTACCTACATTTGATGTAAAGTAGTTCATGAACACTCGTGATTTCAATGTTTTTTGGGAGTGTAGTCAAGATACCACGTACGGACGATGTAGGCGGTACTCACATATGATTGAAACCAAGACGCAAATTGTTCGTTGTGCTGCTGGTGCACCTCACGTGGGGGTGCGCGAGTTCGACATGACCTAATAGTATCAAGGTGAATCCTACAGTGCAAAAATAAAAGTCGAAGATATTCAACACAGGTCGGATACGCATACAAGTATTGTTAAATTGATGTGAAAAAACCTTCGCAACGGACTGATTTCATCTATATTTCCTAGGATGTAGCAATGAATTTGGTGCATCGTATTGTAATCAAGATTGAACCTAGAACCAAACAATCCTTTCCCGTGTTGTGTCCCGTCCTCCTCCCCTCGAGCAGCCCGGTTCTCTTTGGTCTCTATGTCTCCGAGATATCTTGAGCAGAAAGTCACGCATTCTTCCATGAGGTATCCACGTGCAATCGAACCCTCAGGTTGTGCCCTGTTCCGTACGTACCTCTTCAGAGTACCCAAGTACCGCTCAATGGGATACATCCACCGGTACTGCACCGGACCGGCCACCATAGCCTCCTCAGCCAAATGGATAGGCAGATGCTCCATTACATCAAAGAATGAAGGTGGGAATAGCTTTTCAAGATGGCATAGCGTCAAAGAAATTCTTTCTTGGATTCGCTCCAGTTCACGAACTGTGTTATGAGCTGAGCACATCGAATTGAAGAAGTTACAAAGTTCAATCAACACGAGCACAACATTTTTGGGAAGACACCTACAGGAAGTGTTGAATCAGCACCTTCAGTTATATTTAGAGGAGCATATATCATGTTAATTAAAATAATTGCGCTTCAAGGGTATACCGTCGGGCAGCAATAGGTAGAATTCGTTGCATAAGAACATGGCAATCGTGGCTCTTAAGTCCCCATATTAGTTGTTGTTCTACCTTCACACGACGCGATAAGTTTGAACTGAACCATGAGGTGGTCGGAGGTCCTTCACACAGATAGGAATATCCGTTTTTCGGGGGTACTCATGGTGTACGTAGCTGCCGGCAAATATATAGCGCCCCTAGGACCCGATACCGGGTGTAAAGAACTACGTATTTGCATCAACTGTAAGTCTTTCCTCGTGTTCAGATTGTCCTTTTTTCCCTTAGTTCCCAACAATGTATACAGTACATTCTCACACACATTCTTTTCAATGTGCATCAAGTCGAGGTTGTGACGTACCTCATTCTCAGACCAATAAGGGAGCTGAAAGAATATATCTGCTTTTTTTTCCACACCTGTTGCTGCCCGTCCACCCCCCGGTGACGCTTGCGAGACCCCTGTGCAATGCGTTTCTCAATCAAGTTAACCGTACGATACTCAGTAGGCATATCCTGAAGCTGCTGCAGAAGTTCAGCGCGGTCAAGCGAGAAGGCTTTCCGTCAAAGCTCATCGAACCGTCAAATGCATGTTTATCAAAGCGCATTCTATGCCCAGCCGGCAGGAACCGTCGATGCCCGCAATAGCTATACTTATGTCCATTTTTCAGGTATCTGGAATGAGTTTTTAAACCACAAACAGGGCATGCATTCGCCCCACGAGTCGGCCACCCTGACAACATACCGTAACCGGGAAAATCACTAATAGTCCACAGCAATGCAGCTCGCATCTGGAAATCCTCCTTAGTACTCGCATCGTACGTCCGAACACCATCATACCAAAGCTCCTTAAGCTCATCGATCAAAGGTTGAAGGAAGACATCAATCCGATCCCCCGGGCCATGCGGGCCGTCTATAATCGTAGAGAGGATGAACGATGGTTGCTTCATGCACAGCCACGGAGGTAGGTTATATATCCAAGTACGACGGGCCAAATACTATAACTCACACTCATATTCCCAAAAGGGTTGAAACCGTCAGTGGCCAGACCGAGGCGTACGTTGCGAATCTCCTCAGAGAACGTCGTGGTACCGATGATCGAAACTCTTTCCACGCAGGACTATCTGCTGGATGACGCATCTTGCCATCGTCTACACGCCCTTCGGCATGCCATCTCATAGAAGATGCAGTTTTGGAAGATACGTACCATCGCTGCATCGCGGAATTAATGGAAAGTACCTTAACTTCTTCACTGGAGATCTATCTTTACCCTGTGTAAATCGCTTTTCCCCACACACAAAACACAACCTCACGGTCAACATCTTCCCCGGTAAACAACATGCAATTGTTGATGCACGCATGGATAGTCTTGCATGTGAACCCCAAGTCCTTGGTCAGCTTATTAGCCTCATAGAAGTTCTTCGGAAGGACAACATCGTCTGGAAGTGCATCCCGTAACAGCTCTAACAGCAAATCAATAGAATTATTAGACCAGTGGCACAAAACCTTCAAGTGCAAAAGCCGTGCGATAAACGAGAGTCTACTCATCTTCTTGCACCCTGGTATGAGCTCTTTCTCTACATATTTCTAACATCTTTCTATACCCTTACTGCCATGATGTATATGTTCTTTTCGTCATCCCTATGAGGTTCATTTCCACTGGGCCCCGGATCGGTGTGCTCTGTATATGCACACTCTCGCAATAGAAGTTCTAGTTCCTCCTCCCAACGCATTGGCATATTGTTGTTTGCAACAGCAGGGTTCACCTCTCCTTCTCCGTGGCAAGTCCAAACCTTGTAGGTTTGGTCGAATCCATAACGAATACAATGGAGCAAGACATCTCTACGAGATTTTGTTAAGGCGATTTCCGCAAGATGTACAGGGGCAATAGATGCAAGATTCAGAGCTACGATCTTTAATGCGAAATCTAAGAAAGCCCTGACCCCGTCCAAATATTGAGCGGAGATATGGTTCGCATCGTCTATCCAACTCCTATCCATCTAGCAATATAATATACATGCGATTCCATCAACAAAAACATGCAACCAAAAACATATAAGTACAACATAACCTTCACCGATATAATAGGAAACATGGATGCTCTTCATGACGCTAGCATATATTTATCACAACATTAAGGCACATGGACCAAAATCAGCAGCCCTCACCACTTAAAAATCTTCCATAGATGCAATGTAAATAGTATTATATGGATATATTTCCCGTCACAAATGCTGGGCCGTCACAAATAGACACATCAGCAGCAAGAGAGAGTGAGAAAAGTGAAAAAGTTTCTGAAATTGACAAGACATGGGGAGCATGGGGGGACATCCGTGTGTGTAATGCAACCACTATATCTATCTATCTATTATCTATATGGGACTGAAGATGGAGATTGAGATGGAAGACGTGTACTATAAGATTTTGAGAGATATACTATTATATTATAGAGGTACAGAAATGGCTCTCTACCCCAATTAGAGGGATACAAATAGGAATAGTACACAGCACCAAAGCCACAAGATTCACTGTATCTGTTTCCACCAAAACTGCATTTGCATCATCTTCTTTCACATTACTACTCTCGCCCTCATCCTTTACTCTCTACTCTCTACTCCCTACTCTCAATGCAAAGTGTAAATAAGCCCTGGATTTTATCCTTAATTTATAGAAATGCTATAATGAATATATGTATGGGTGACTGTATGTGT